GGAGCAGAGAGCCTCAGAAGGACCAGATGAGATCGCAACAAGGAAAGTCTGAAATCGTTCCCTTAGGTGATGAAAGAGCCCTCTGCTCGCCTCCTGTGCTGCTACGGCCAACACACGTATATGCCTTCATCAACAGAGTGGAACCCTCCTCAACCTGTTCGCCTCCCTGCCCGGAGCCCACCATGCTCCTCCTTTACAGCCCCCATGATCCCCCTTCACCACCAACTACCCTTTATAGCTTTCTTGGAGGAACCCTCCTCCAATCAGAACCAACCTACTATTTTCTCCTCCATTACATGATGAAAGTAATTCTTTGTTTTAAAATATGGTAGTTAGGCCTCCCTGATGTTGCACTATGAAGCTATCAACAGCAGAGTTCGATCCCCCGTCAGGAAACTGACCCACATGGCACAGAGGACCTCTCCCGTCTTGCCTGCTGCTCCCCTCAGCAGTGGATTTCAGATTTGACTGTTCTGCTCCTCACTGTCTCTGGTGAATCCTTTCACCCCCTCCACCCTGGCCCCCTGACCTCTGACTTACACCCCAGCTTTTACATGCATAAATAAAACCATCTTTGATAAATAAATACATACATACATACATAAAAATTAGGTAAGGTAGTTAGAAACACAGTGTGGAGACAATAAATCTATAAAAACTAAAATGTATTTACAAGAAGTTGAAAATATTTTCAAGAAATCAAATGCTCAAAGAGTCGAAGCACAGAACTTTGCAAAGGCCTGCATTTGCACCCTTCCTCGATTAGCTCTATACTGGCTTGTTACAAAGAGAAAGGCATGCACATCTGTGTACACATAGAAAAATATCTGCAAGTGTATGCAAAATAATATTAACCAGAGTTTCATCTGAGCTACTGGGGAGAGTTTTAATTTCCTTCCCTACATACTTGTATTTTCTGTTATATAATTTATACACAGTACTTACATATGGAAAACTTAAATATATTAGGTGAATACATGCCTAAGAGCATAAAGGGTGGGGAAAAAGGGAGAGTTAAGGAAAGCAAAGAAGTAGCTGGGGTGAGACATGAAGGCAAAAAGCAAGTGAATTAATCCAAACTAAGGGATGAACAGGAGACCCAGTTTGACATGAAAGGCTCCTTCTGCACCCTGCACACCTAGAAGCCCCAAATTTTGTTCTGGTCCTCTTTGTTTAAAGATTTATTTACTTACGCATACAGAAATGGGGTACAAGGCAGAGGTGTCAGGGCAGTGAGAGGCCTCACCAGAGACAGAGTGGGGAGCAGAACAGGCCGACTGACGAAGTACACTGCTAAGGGGAGCAGCTGGCAGGTCAGGAGAGGTCTGCCGCGCCATGTGGATCACCTCCAGGTAGGGATCGAACTCTCACTGAAGTGGCTGCGGCCAGCTTGCAGTGCTTCACCCCAACCCACTGCTCCACCAGGGAGGGCCCTGTTCTGGTCCTATTACCATAGCTCAGTGCCCAGAAAGACACAATGCTGGGCATAAGTGTAACCATTTAAAAGGAGACATTATTAGCCTCTGGTGAATCCTCTTACCACACCTGCCATCTCTGGCCTGTACCCCAGTGCTGTATACATAAATAAAATAAATCTTTAAAAAATAAAAATAAAAAGGAGACGTTAGCAACCTTTCGGTGGGATGGAGGTAGGGCTGCCAGAGTATGTATATATATATATATATATATATATATATATATAGGCAGGGCTGCTGGTTTTCACTTCCAAAGAGAAGCAAAACCAAGTTGCTTCTCTCTACCTTGGTTTTGCATTTGTAACTCCAGAAGTCACTTAAAAGCAGGCTATCTATGTTCAAAAGTAAATCTCTTGGACAAGTACCTTATGTTCATGCCGGAGCAGGAAGGTGCGGGCTGTGTATCGGAACGCCCGGCCAGAGAAGACAGCTATCTCTCTTGGCACAGATTCTCAGGGATGAGACCATGTCTAGTGGGGATTTTCTCCAGAGTCGAGCGCTTTGGCCCTACCAAAACGCATGGTTTTGTTTTCACCATACATCACTCATCGTGAATCTTTCGCTTTTTCTTTCAAGCATCCACAGGTCAAATACTGTGTGTTCCCAACAGTCTGTGAACTTCTTGGACCAGTAAAGGGACATTCATTTTGCTCAACACTCCTTTAACATTTCTATTGTGTATGATTTCCCACTCCCCCTACCCTAGTCCCCAGAGAATAACTTCTTCCTTGTTTTAATAACTTGGACCACAGTCAAGGTTGATGTGTTTCTCCATTTTGCAGGATATTTTCTTCAGAAGAGACAAAACAAAGGCTAACAGAGTTGCTGAGGGTTGTGAACAGACTAAGAACATCAGCAGCTATTGTGAGCACACAGAAAATGCTTTTACAGAAATAAAAAGCTGACAGCATCAGGCACCATTAACAGAACTATTTACTGAGGTGGATTAATGCTTAGAAAGATTCTTCAATAATTTCCTCTCCCAGTGACCCACTTAAAAACCTAATTTCATTTGCTTCTTGGTATGAGTCAGGGTTAAGAAAGTAGGTTCATAAAGTACCTTCTCTAGGACTTAAATTGAAGCACAACAGTCTCCTGGTTTGGGTCATAAAACTGGTTCTGATTCCAATGGACATGCAGAGGTTAGAAAATGAGTAGAGAGTAAGGAGTAAAGGGGTGGCGAGTGCACCCCATCTTCCTGGTGATATGTTTTCACCTTGCTTTCCTCTCCCTAAAATCCCATCTCATCCAGATAAAAGCACAGCTCCTTGAGTGGCTTCATATGGCTGTTCTTTTTTAAAAAGTAACATCTAAAAGGAAAGATGACACGAACAAATTTTTCATGAAGGTTAGTCTGAACTATGTGGTCTTTTACTGAAAATTAAGAATGCCTCATTTTTATAAGTGATATGGGAATTATTTTTTTTTCTCTAAAACATGACTCAAGCCTCCTGTTTTCCTGTTACAGCTCTACCTTGTGGCCATGGTTATTCTCACCACTGACTTCAAATAGTTTCAAGACACTGGTTATAGATTGAAGCGAAGAGAAAGTTATTTATCTTTCTGCATGGAGTATCTTTTCTCAAATGGATTTTCCGTATTAACATGCCATGTGTTTTCATGCCATGAGAAAAGAAAGCAAATCCACAGAATAAGGACACCTACCCACAGAATAAGGTCTCCCTTGGGGAAAAGCCAACATTTCTACTGTTATTACAGATTCAACTGAATCCAGCTCTCTGCTATTCAGGAGCTTAGAGAAAAGAGCTAAGGAGTCACCATTTTTAAGTGCCAAAAGAGAGGCAAAATGGATAAGGACACATCAACAGGCTAAAGAATCAACCCATATATCACAGCCAGCATTTCAGAAAATGATACGGAACAGAATAGACACCATCCGTGCACAGCATGCAGCAGCGCTAGGTAGTGTTCTGTGAAAATCTGTGCACGTGTGTGTGAGCGTGTGCAAATGTATGCAGACTGGGTCCCAGTGTAAAAGGAAAACATTTCTAACTGTGACCACAGCCTAAAGAGCTTATGAAGGTCTCATTGAGGGCTCAGATTCAAAAGTCAGGAGATGAGGATTCCAACACAGCAGAGCCACTAGCTATACAACGAGACTAGGTGGCTTCAAGATGGTCACGATCATAGTACTGGACGGCAGCTGTGACATCAGGAAAGGATGCACATATGAAGTCCTCTCCCAGAGCCTGGTGATTACAATCAAACTTAGATAAATCTTCAATCCACAATGGAAGCCTATTAGTTGACTCATAGTATGTGCTAAAAGGGTACAGCCACAATTCTGATTTTTGATCTCCAAAGAACTGATCTTCCACAAAACTACTTATTGGCGGCCCTCCCTGGTGGCACAGCGGGTTAAAGCACTGCACTAAGAAGCTTAAGCCACTTCCGCATGAGTTCGATCCCTGCCTGCTCGGGAGGTGACCACATGGCGCGGCAGACCTCTCCTGACCCGCCCGCTGCTCCCCTCAGCAGTGTACTTCGTCGATCTGCCTGTTCTGCTTCCCACTCTGTCCCTGGTGAATTCTCTCACCCTCCGCATCTCTGGTCTGTACCCCAATTCTGTATAAAAAAAATAAAAAGGAAAAAAATTTAAAAAAAAAACTACTTATTGATTCTCTTTTGTGCAGGTCTCTGAGTAAAGTACTCAAAAAACACATTTTGACTGCAGAAATCTTTTTCTGAAATGTAAGCCTCGGTAAAAACTCTTCTAAGTTTTTTTCTTATACTGGACTGAACAAAACAAATGATTCACACTTGCGCCTTACAACAGAACTACTGACTCTCCAGCAAGTGACTAATATCCTGTATCTAAAGACTTTTAAAAGGTATCAAAATTATCTCGACTACAGAAAGACCCAGATTCACACCCTTGTCAAGATTCCTCATCTGTAATTTTTGTAATCAAACAAATCACCCAACCCTGTACTCCAGCATGAAACAAAATTAACACAATTGTGTTCAGTCTATTCTTCACATTTAATTTGGGGAGAGTTACTGAATTCTGAGTAGAGGTGAGAAAAGAAAAGAGAAGGATCTGGAAAAAAAAAGGAAAGCCAAGAAGCCAAGAAATGAAGACAAGTTGAGAGCAGGTAGAAAGATAGAACGCTGATACTAAGTTCTCTTTGAGAGATTTCAAAGTAAACTGAGAAGAAAGCAAGGGTAATACGGGTGAAATATTTGACTGACCTAACGTAAACATGTGCCTACACAAAATTGGTATCTTGCAAAACATTCAGGAGGAAATGAGCAGAGTCCCCACTGCAGTATTGTAAAAATTACTCCTCACATCCATGGGAATTATCACCACCTCCATTTTCACTCACAGCGAATCAGTGAAAAATGAGAAAAGTTAAAGAGGTGAAAAGAGAGAGGAGAGAGGTCCTTCCCATCCCAGGGCACCAACTGCTACCCTGACAACCTTGTCAATCCTAACTCCTGTGTGGCCCCGGGCCCCAGGCCTACGTCATCTGCATTGTCATCAGCGCATTGTCCACTCACTTGCTCTGCCCTTCTGTCCATTTCACTGAGCCGGAGCTCCCAGTAGCAACTCTAGAAGAGAAGAAGAGGTGGGAATGGGGAACATGCATGGCTCTAGCAAGCTGCCCCGAGCCCAGAAACCGATGAGAAGCCAATAATTACAGAGACATGAAGTTAGTTGCCTAGTCAAGAGTGATGGACTAAGTCCCCAACCCCAGGTGATGACAGGTTGGAAAGCCATGGGGAGGCTGGAAAGAGCTGGGACCTTGGAATCAGATCTGGATTAGGAATCCCAGCTCCACCACTGAATACAATGTGAACTTGGGAAGTTGCTTAATGGTCTGAGCTTGATTTACTTATCTGTAAAGTGAGATAGCAGTGTATGGGTATCAAAATGTTAGGAAAGCTAGACAACGTGACTCGTAAAGATGAGTTCTTTACTAAATGTTGAAAGCAAGTCTCATCTGCTTCCCTTTTTTTCATATTCAGATGCAAACAATTGCCTCTACCTGGATTTGGCGGCTGTGTTCACCCCCTTATGCCTTTAAATCAAGTGTGAAGAAAACCTGGTGAGAGCAGGTCTTACTCTGGATGGTCCAAGTTATCACCCACTCAAGTATGAATTTGGATCCTGCACTCTGTAAACTTGGAAGCATTTCTTGATAAGATAATGTAATGGTTAACATCTGTGATACCACTAGCAAAACACCAACATTAACTGAGGCTGAGTGGACACAACTCTGAAGAATTCTAAAACATTCAAGAGAAAGGCAATAACCCCAATATTCTCAACTCCCCAGCTCCATACTAAAACACCCCCTCTATATAGTCTTGAAAATGCAATACTGCCCACAAACCCCCAATTGGAGGAGGGGAGAAAGTATCTTAATCCCAATGATTGACATGTCTACCCTTCTAAAACTGTGTTCTCTCCATAAGTTGCAAGCACCTTTAAAATGTTTCAACAGGTGTGAGTTACTGCTGCAGGGCAATGGAATAAAGTAGACCTTACCCTTTCAATGTGGCTCCCAAGTTCATCTGATTCCAGGTCATACATTCAAGCTGGGAGGTCATTTGGTATAAATTGTCACTGTTAGAAAAACAGCCAGAGTTAGAAACACGTAACTAAAAACAAAACAAACAAACAAAAATGCAATTGTTCTTCCAAAAAGCAATGGAATATTGGTTTGTTTTTTTTTTAAACGTGAAACTTTCACGTTTTTCAGAATGACAGAATATGTGAGTCTGAAAGGATTCTCATTTTGTCCCATGATCTGCAGTCCTTCACTTCACGCATAGCAGAAAGGATGTAAGAGTAATTTGGAAGCCTGAAAAAAACCTTAGGATAGCAAACACTGAAATTTCTAAAGAGGTATTAAACCTCCAAGGGGAAGAGGCTAAAGGGAGTGAGACTTTGAAAGGCAACACAGGCTGGATAACTCAACATTAAAGTTAAAAGCCTGGAGCTGAAAGTAAAAAGACAGCAGATTAATTATTCGTGAAAAGGCCATTAAGTTGTTTTAATCAAAAGGATAAGTATCATGTGGATTATGAGGGTCTGAAAAGTCAAAGAGTGATGGGTGATGGATGATCTAATACTCAAGGATGTGACAAGCCAAAGAAAGAGGAGGATAAACTCTGTGCACCACTGAAGGAATCACTCTAAGTGTTATAATCCTGGTACAAGTTAAATGCAGTTTTTTTGTTTTTTTTTCAAAGCTCCCACCAGTTCTATAAAGTACTATGAAGGACAACACTGGCTGATCATCCACATTAGGACACCAAAGAAGAAAATACACCGTGATGTAAACTAACAAAAGGTTGTTCTGTCCCTTTTATATTTACGTCATTCCTAGAAAGCCAGCACATACATCTATACTAGAAATCTCCTACATTATCAAGCTCCATTAGATATAGACTTAGTCCTGAACTGAAATGGTTAATTTTGAAATTTGAGACCCAAGAGATTAATGGTTTGTCTGGGTGCCCTTGATCTAAACAGACTACAGAAGGACATTTTCACCCTTCCTTCATGGCCAAAGTGAAAAAGGTAGACAGTTTCGATATCTCATGCACAATATCAGATCTTCAAATCCTGGAGAACCTCCATCTTGCCCAGGCATTCCTTAAAGGGGTTTCATACACTGGGCAGAGGTAACCCCAAAGTTTAATTAAGAAGACTTTGTCGGGCACATGGGTGAACAAGTGGTGGGGAGTCCATGGGGATTACAACCAAGATGAAAAAAATGCACAAAATGAAGAATGATGTAAAAAACAAATTAATTAAAAAAAAAAAAGGTTTTGTCAGGCCAATCAAACCGGGAGCTTTGGTGAGGGGCGAGGGAAATGATGGCAACTCAGAATAAATGAATGCTGTTCTCTCTCCCGGCGGAGCTTGATAAATCATAGTTGAATCCATCTGCCTCTCATGTAATCACTCTGAAAATTATTTGGAACCCCTCAGTGGCGGGTACAGGAGGAAATCAGATTCCAAGAGGGAATTTTACATATGAAATGTGAAGTGACTTTAAACTCCAAGTATGTGTAGTTTCATTAGTCAGTGTGTATCTGGATCCCATCATTCATCCCCATGTCTGACTGGCTATTATGCTACTACAATATCCTATATATCAATGGGGAAAAAAAATGATTAGTTTCTCCTGCAGCTTCCCGGTTTGCAGCAGCAGTTCGTGCTGGTCTGTGCCACTACGTTTCGCAATTCCACGAATTCTTGCTGTAAGGCTGATGTAATTAATTCCTGAAGGACCCCAATTTTTATTAGAAGTGCCAGCCTACTGCATTTAACATGGGAGCGTTTCTTGAACTTTCTTTGGGCTGACAGTTCATTAATAAGCGGCCTCCTCCACAATCTACTGGTTTTTGTTCTCTTGCGCCTTTTCATCAAGCAATCCATTTATTAATCTAGCCATTAATCTCAGCCAACAGACATTGTAGTCCCCAGACAGCTCTGTATTTTTGTCACTAATTTTTAAAAAATTGTTCTCTAACGAAAATCACTCAGCCCCGGCTGACAATCTTCTTAGGCCCTATTGGGATGTAGAATCCTTCTGAAATTATTTCATCCCTGCATAAGACTAAGAAAGTCATAGTTTTCAAGAAGGCTGACAAACAAGAGGAGTGACAGAAGTTGAGGAATTTTCTCACACACGGGAAGAGTCCAGTGGACCTAAGGGTTTCCATAAAGAAGTACCCCAAAGAAAATATTTTAATGGCATTTTCTCAGACTGCTGAAAGCAAACTCACAGGGCCTTGTCTGTGTGTATGTATGTATGTATGTATGTGTGTGTGTGTGTGTATACACAAAGATATATGTATGTATCTTCTTACTCAACAAATAGTACTTAACAAATAGATTGTACTATACTAATAACTGTCCAGAAACCTTGAGTCCCCCAAATATAACTAATGCCATATGCTGAAATAAGATTTTAGTTATACAGGGTCAGATAGAATATTTTAAGATTAACTTCCTTATTTCTTTTTCTTTAATGTGGCCACTAACAAATTTAGCTTATATATGTGGCTTGCATGATGATTTTGCTGGACAGCACAGGTTTACTCAAGGTTTTAGGATCTTGAGCAAATCAGCTCAGCTCTCTGAACCACAACTGTGGTTCAACTGTCAGATGGGGATAGTGATCCATCTGACAGGATAACTTTACAAGGATGTTGTGAAGCTTTAATGAGGCTCTTCAAGGTCACTATAGATTATATATTTGAATTTTTTCAAATCTATGCAATTTTGCACCGACTTTCACAACACATGCCTCACAGCCAAACACATGCCTCACAGCCACTTCGTAAGGCTAGTGAAATTATGATTCCCAGTAATCAGAGGACTGGAGCTCAGGGGAATGCCTAGTGCTGACTTCCCTGCCACCCCCATTCCTACTTTGCCATGCCCCTTTGAAGACTCCCTGGCATTAGCTGGCCTCTACGCATAAGGAAGCACCATGACCTGCTGTCTCCAGAAAGTTACAAGAGACAAGATGTCCAGCATGGCCTCATCACTGACTGAGAAGTCAGTGTGCTGAGCTCCCTGCAGGAATAGTCCTCTCTGATGCTGGTGCTCTTGACAGTTGCAAATTCTCAGAAGGGGAGAGAGGGTGATCAGCAAGGGGGGAGGATATACAGAAAATCCCCAAGCTCTTAATAGGCTTCTTGAGGCCAGAGATAGGACCAGAGTACAATTTTAACTGCTTCCTGACTGGCTGGCTGGGGCCTATTGGTGCCTCAGTCGACGGGGCTGGTACAACCTCCCAACTGGAAGGGGTTGATAGCAGTGACAGTGACTGGTGCTGGGGCGAGAACAAGATGTAAACTGGAACTAAAAAATACTGGACCAAGCATGCTCACACTTTCATCTGTTTGGGCAATCGGTCAACAGCCAGCCTCACTGTGAAAGCCCATGGAAAGAGACAGCACACTCAGGGAACACATGGACTCTGGCAAGCAAAGCACCTAATTATTAAATAACCACTGAAGGTGTAAAATATCTCATTCCCAGGTGAGATAAGATAAGCAGGTAATTCAGCTCACAGTGACCAGAGCAGTCACGTAGGCATTCAGTTCCAACCATTTAATTTTGTGTATTTGGAAGTGAACGTAGAAATTATAAACTGTCCAAATAATTTCCAGAAGTCATGGTGTCCCTTCTACTTAAAAAAAAGTACCACTTGTTTCCTATATAAGAAATGTTTGAAGTTGGAGGCAAGGGAGCAAGGAAAGAAACTTCTATAACTGGGATTAATGCAAGTTGGAGTAAAATAAAAGGAAGTCAGTCCTAGTAAAAAGGGGAACTTAAAAGGAAATCAGTAGTAGATCATATATAGTTTGTTTTGGCCTGGACAGTGGTATTACTGAGTTCTCGACCTCTACACAAAAGAAAGGAAGAAAAAAAATCTCAGCTATTATCTGGACTAGACCTCCCCCACGCTTCAAATGCATATGCAATCAAGTACATTTTCATTTTTAAGTGTGCTTTCTAGATTCAGGCAGAAGAGTTCATGTCACCACTGAACGGAACCATCAAGCCTCGCTGAGAATGGGGTTACCTCTGCCAGATGGTTGCCAGCTGGAAAGACAGCATCGTAATGGGAGAAAAAGTTTCCCCACATGATAAAAATGAGGGGGGGCGGTGAGGAAAAGGAAGAAGAATAAGGGAAAAATGTAGATACAACTGACATCTACGGTCAAACTGAAGATGTCTCCAGCTTTGCTATAATGGCTCTGTCCTGCAGCAACAAAGGAGAGCTCTGTGGATTTACCTCCACCTGGCAACCAGAGCTCAGGCACACAGGCTGCAACCAGACTTCCACGCAGCCCTTTCCCTTGTTCTCCCCGAGATGCCTTGGAGACTGCCTGTTGAGAAATTTCTGCCCAGCAGGCCACAGTGAATAATTATTTTACAGTCAATCTCTTAGTATTGTAATTTCTCTCAAGCTCACCAGTTAACCAAAGAAAAACCCACTAGGGATTCAACTTCTATTAATAAACACTTGGTCAGCACAAAAGTTGCAGGAATATTTGAAACTAGATTTTTTCCCCTCCCTGGAGACAAGTCAATTCAAGCCTGTGGCTTTGATAACACTATCCACCACCCTGGAAACCATTTTAGACTTTCTGCCTTCATACCCATCCGTGTGGGAGACATTTGTATTGTCTTAAGTGAAGCCTGTATGCCATGCAATGTGTAAAGAGGCACTATTAGTTATGATTTTACTTCCTTGGGTGTGAACTGTCCTCTGATTTATGTCTCATTGCAGATCCAGGTAGATCATATACTTCCTATGGATCCGAATTTCCCCAGAAACAATGACTTCTAAGGAAGATTCTCTTTACCATTTGTAAATCATCAACATTCAATAAAAAATATTCAGAAGCCCTCCCTGGTGGCGCAAGGGTTAGGATGCAGTACTGCATGCTGGCTGCAGCCGCTTCAGTGAGTTTGATCCCGGCCCCAGAGATGACCCACATGGCACAGCAGACCTCTCCTGACCTGCCTGCTGCTCCCCTCAGCAGTG